TGTATACTCATTAATATAATACAAAGCTTTACCAATAATCGATAAAGTATAAGTAGAATAGAAATCGTGTTTTATTGTTCACATTAACGATGAACGAACTTGCCTATTATTGCTTATCAATCAGGTATCGGTAATAAAATCCATCTGTTATCGTAGTTTATATTATTACCGAAACACCATGTCCATATCAGAGCCCAGTTTCCCTTATAATTAATATACCTCGGAGAACCCCTGAAAATAAAATAAAAATTCTACTACTTAACCAATATAGTAGGACGCAATTCATGTATATATTTTTAACGGGACACAACTAAGGAGTCCCGTTATGAAAAATATTTATTATTTAAAACAATATACAGAATACAATTAGTGTGAGTAGGTAGGTCCCGTATTGTTTTATTATTCTTGCTATGTGCTTTGGTTGAACGTAATATTGTTATTTTTTTAAACGTTATTTTTCTACGCAGCGAAGTACCTATATTGCCTATATGTCACGCCGTACAACACTTTGTGTTGTGRACATCTTAAGAGGACACTATACCTACACACATATTAATTATTGTCTCCGTCTTACAAAGTGCGTGACATAGCAAATTTACGCTTGCCAGATCACGTTTAACTCCGCAAGTTTAAAAATTAGAAAATGCATTTACCTATATTATGAAACTTGATATTAAGAACATTGTGTGGGTTTTTTACGATAACTTGATTTTTAATTGATAGTTATGAGCATTTTTTAATTTACGATTTTTTGTACACGCATAACTTGCTACAAAATTGAACTATCGAAAAAAAACCAACATACTAATACAGATAATGTTTTTGCTATCAAGTTTCATATAATAGGTCGGTAAACTCTAATGTTTAAGCTAACGGAGCTAAACGTTATATGCTTAGCGTAAATTTGTTATGTTATGCTCTTGTAAGACGTAGAAGACAATAAATGGATRTGTAGCGTCCTTTTAATATTATTTATTCAATAACTAATAGAGCCAAAGCACATAACTTTATATTATATTGTGTATGAAGAATATTAACTGGTGAAAGTTAATTTTTTTACTGTAAAATGTATGTGTTTTATTATTATTTACAAGATATTTACAATCTGTTAAAAAAAAAAAAAAAAATAAGGAAATTTTATAATCGTATAAAATAATGTTATATTATAACATGACAATTAGTATGGTGGAAGAAGCAACCCTGCAATAATGGCATTACCCGTATTTTAATTATTTGTAAAATGTATGATAATATCACGTAATATTATAAATTTTGTGATTTATGATTGTAATATCATAACGTAACRCGTTTGGGTACAGTAGACCCTAAAAGCAACACGTTTGGGTAAAAATGAATACACCTTTTTGGGTACACCATATATCTAGAAAAATAACACGTTTGGGTACATAGGGCCGTAAAACTATAAAACACACTATAGACACTATTCGATGTACGGTAARGTACGAAAAATTTTAGTTGTATCTTTGTTTTCTCTAAACTCACTAAATTTATAACTATTAATCGCAACACACTTTTTMMC